TCAGAAACACAGCAGAGGGTGATGCCCGTCTGCAGCAGGCTCACCTGGACAAGGGCACTGAGTCCCAGAGCTGGGTCAGCTTACCCTGACCCAGCCAGGGATGCAGAGAATCTGGGGGATCTCCTTGCTCCTTCCCTACCAGGCAGAGATGGGCCCAGGGTTTCTGATCTGGAACCCGTTTGAGCCACTTGTGTTCAGAGTAAGCCGCAAAGGTCACGGAGCTCCTCACACCAGGGGGCTTTGGGCAGCACTCTTCCGAGACATTTGGACTATTCTGTGGTGAAATAAATGAAGGCCACTTGTAGTCTCACAATGGTTCAAGTCACATTCATCTGTTAAGCTTGTGGCACATTTAGAGGAAAAATCAACTTTTGAGAGCTTTTTGTATTGGGGGGTTTTGGAGAAGCAATTAGGAACCTGTAGTTGCTCTCACAATTAATAAAAAGGTGGGTGAGGCAGACACAAAGTGCTACAATGTTCATGGTAATTATCATTGTTATCAATATAATTTCCTTTTCCTCCTTTGGGATGAGTCCCCACATTTCCCAAGAGACTAGAAAAGGATTTACTCATTTTACTGGAGGCGGGGCGGGAGGGAGGGGTGCAGCATGATATTAAATACAGCAAAATGAGCCTGGGGCTTCCCAGGGTATTTGTGAGACAGAAGGCTCAGAGGCATGGGAAATTCCAAGAGCAGGGACCCAGGTTGAGAATATCACTGTGGCCCACAGCCTAAGCCAACAGGCAAACGGGCAGAGACAAGGCCGGCTCCCAAAGAACACAGCCAAGGCTCAGGGAGGGAAGTCAATGGAGTCACCACACCAGACAGCTGCCCTTGTCACCAGCTTCGTTTCTGCCTTAAGATTGTTAGGAGGAAAGGCAGCAAATTTGGCAAACGTGCATGCTCTTGCAGACGACCTGATTTTCTTTCATCCCTAGCCGTGAAGGCCCCAAGCAATTAGAACCAGAATGTTCTCAGTGTAGCCAACACCTTCCTGTGGGTGCTGGGACAAGAGTCAGGGCAAACAAAAACAGAACAAACCAAAACCCAATCCAGCAGCAGCGGTGCGGGGGCAGACTGCATCAGCCCTGGGACGCTGGGTCAGAAGTCAAAGCCACCCACAAACACCCAGCCCCCTCCGAGACCTCCTTGGGCCCCCAAATGAGCAGTGCACCAAGCACATGCTGGAATTCCTGGGAGCTGCATCTACACGCATGTGTGGGCCAAGGCCCTACAGCTTCCTGGATGTTCCCAAGGAGCCCCCCCTTTCTCAGACCAGGGTTGTTTGTGGGATGAGGCCGGAGACTCCCAGAGGAACATTCCCTGGAACCCTGTGGAGCAGGCAGCACACTCTGTGCCCTCCCCTACTTGGCAATTTGTCCCCCCTCTCAGGCCATGTCATCAGTACTTGCTGTGTCTTGTTTTCCCATTGCTGGAAAAAGCGACGTTGAGGGCTGTGAGACACTGGGTTCCCGATAAGCACAAGGCGTCATTAGTGGTATTGTGATTTTTCCCACTGCAGCTCTTACATCCTGCCCTTCCAGCTATTTTGGGCCAGGCTGCCCAGTTACCCCACAAAGGCAGAGACTGGTATTATAAACTTTTGAATTCCATTCCCAAGGGCTCGAGTTGGTGGTGACCCACTGCCAAGGGGTAGGGATGGGAGAGGCTCCATGGAGACTTGGAGAAGTTGCTGAGATAGAAAAGTGGAAACTTGGCAGCCGCCGAGCCTCCTGGCCACTGGCCCGCGCTCATGGCTCCTGGACAGCACTTCCCCTATTCTGGGAGTCTCCGGCAGGTGGAGATCAGGATTGACAGCTGCAAGGACAGGCCAGGTTAATCTGCTTCTTTATGGGGCTCATACCTGGAGGAAACTACAAGCTAGAGGGCCTTCCTTCCCCAGAGGGCTCCAGGAGGTGGGTGGTGAGAAACTACCCTTGCAGTCTTGCTTTTGTCATTTACATGCCTCTCAACTTTAATCAAGCCACTTCATTTTCCTCAACCTCAGTTTCTCTGTCTCTAACCCTTTACTCCCCTATTTTGGTAATGAATGCTGTCAGTTAGACTAGGCTTAGACAGAACAATGACGCAACAGTCCACTCCATGAGATGAAATGAGAGGGCCCCCTGGCGGCCAGCACAGCCCTAAGCACTAGATTGTGGAAGGGCTGCCTGAAAGAATGAATGCCCATGAAGAAATGTGCCACGGAAACCAAAGGAGAGAAGGGCCCAAGGTTTGGAGGCTCAGAACACGAAGCCACAGATAAGGTGCTGTGCACGTTGCCTGCTTCGCAGGAGACGCAAGGCCTTGGCAGCGGCCTGGACACAGCCTCTCTCTGGCCTTCAGCCCCTCTCTTCCTGGAGAGAGGAAGCTAGAATCCCTCTGCCCCAAAGCCAGCCATAAAGCCTAGAACTTTTACTCTGAAGCAGGCCATAAAGAATTTCTCTGATCTACCTTGTCTGATGGTAGGTTATATGACCTTCATTTCAGAAAGTGTCCTGCCCGAATCTCAGGAGGAAGGAGTTGGACAAACAGGCGTAGCTGGGTTCCCCTCCCCGGTCTGATCCCTCTAGGTTATCCCCCTTTTGTCCCATCACATTTCCAAATCTGTTCGACCATCAAATCTGGGTCTTTGGGTCTTTGTTTTACGAAGACCCAAAACAAAACTGAATGTGTCATACTTTACTCTTGCTACTGTCTTCTGTTCCAGGAGCCTGGGCCATGCCCCCCCGTGCTAGGCAAGGAGTATTATGCCTTTCTGCCCCAACAGAAGCCATGGTAAAATCTCTAACGACATAAAGACAATAATGAAAATCGAATGGAAACCTAATTGTGTCGTTGTTGACCTCAAGGACAGCAATTTCATAACACAATCTCTGTGGAGTGTACGTTCGCTCCTAGTATGCAAATACCACTTTAAACCCAGGACAACTGTGTTTGAATCACACAGGGACAACCCCGAAGCACTGCTGTCCTATAAAAAAGATCACAGGTATCCTGAAAGAACTCTTGGGGGCCTGGTAAAGTGAATTACAACACAGTCACACAGCAGAATGCCATGCAACTGATTAGAGAATGAAACGTCTCTCTCGACGGTGAGCTGGAACCATCCCAAGCTATAATGAGAAGCGAAAAACCAAATTGCACTGAAAAACAGCAAAGAGCTGAATTAAGTGGAAAGGCAAATTGGTCTTGGGCAGAAAATTCCACATAATAAAAACCTCAGATTTCTCTCAACTAATCGATAGACTCAAAACAATTCCACTCAACATCCCAAATAGTTGAGGATGGGGGGACACGTTCTACAACATATAAAGACTAGTATAATGAGACAATAATGAAGTGGCGTCAGAGCAGATCTGAAATATCAATACAAAGTAACAGTCCCTGCATAGATCCATGTGTGCACTGAAACTTGATGTATGACAAAACTGGCATTACCTGCCTATTAATGGGGAAAAGGATGAATTATTTCCTAAAAATAGCACTGAGATGTTAGGGCATCCACAGAAGAATAAATGGTTCAAACTCTCCAAGTTATCAGGCAGGGAGAAGACATTTAACGGCAGCAGATCAGCAAAACTTAAATGCCTGATAGTATTCATGGAACAACTGCATCTGTCATCCAATGCATAGTTTCATGTTGTTTTTAAAGGTTAAAATAGGTAGAACTAAACAATATAGTTTCACACCTATATGCAAAAACCATAAAGTAAGGCAAGAAAATGATCAACAGTAACATTCTGGATCATGGCTAGGTCTGGAGGGTAGAAAGGGGTTGGGAATGGGAAGGGTTTGGAGAGCTTTAAAGATACCAGGAACAATGTCATTTCCAAGCTGGGATGCATATGTAGATATCATAGTAATTAAAAGATTTGGATAATTTACAATAACAACCCATAGAATGTGTTGGGACTCCGTTTAGCAAGACATCAATGAATTCAAGAATTTATAGGGCTTGGGTTGTGGCTTAGTGGTAGAGTGCTTGCCTCGCATGTGTGAAGCACTGGGTTCGATTCTCATCAACGGAAATAATTAAAATAAAGGTCCATCAATAGCTACAAAAATTAAAAAGGAAAAAAAAAATTTGTAGCTTCCCTCAACAAAGACAGTGGGTTCAGCACACTTTCTGTCCTTTTCTTCTTTTTTTTAAGGAAGTTTACCTGGCTGGGGTGCAGCTCTGTAGTAGAGCCCTTTCCTAGAATGCATTAGGCCCTGGGTTCAATCCAAGACCTGGGGGGTAGAGGTCGCTGTCACTTGAAAAATAAAGTTTTTAAACAGGTAATTTAGTGTTATGTGTTCAGGACTTTGTATCATCAAGCTTCTGCCAGAGGAACCACGTGAAACTAGCAGCAGCCCTCGCCTCGGGGCAGGGAAGGTAGGAGAGCAGCGCCCGCACCCCTCTGCGGGGGGCGCAGGGGACACCGCCCAGGACCCGCTCCTGGGGGCCTCCCGGGCGCTGGCGGCGGGAGCTGCACTGTGGCAGAGGGCCTCCCTGAAGCGCCCGCAGAGACGGGCCGGGAAGTCCTGGGCCAGGGCCCCTCAAGGGGCTGGGGGCCGACGGCCCCTGAGCCTTGGCCGTCCCACCTGCAGGGCAGCATCGCGGCCTTGGGCCAGCCCGGCGCGCAGGCGCGCAGCCGGAAACACGTGGCCGGGTAGGGCGGGGCCGCCGGGAGCGCGCGGCCGAACCATGTGGCGCAGGCGCAGAACAGAGGCTGCCGGGAACGCGTGTCCGGGCGGAAGTGGTGGCCCGCGCGTCCGGCCCTGCGCAGCGAGGCGGCCGCCGCAGGGCACCGGAGCCAGGCCGGCAGCGGGTGAGTGACGGGGCGCCCGCGGGCCGGCGCCCTCGATCGCCGCTGCCCGGAGCCTGCCGCCGCCCCCACCCAGCCGCGGCTCGGCCCTGGCCCCGCGGGCTCCCTGCGCGAGCGGGGCCCTGCGGGCGGACGCCTCCTCTCGCGTCTAGTGCGGGTCACGTTCCCCGCCGACTGCAGCGCAGTGCCCTCCCGTCGGCCTGGTGGGAGGCCCGCCCGGCTCTCACGGGACCCTGCGCGGGGACGTCCCCTTCCCTCCTCGCCACCCGGAACCCAGGCCTGCTCCGGCCTGTGCCGCGCCTCTCCCGACTGACGGGCGACGCCCCTTCCCACCTGTCACGCCGCATCCTGCTCCGCCCCAGTTCTCGCTCGCTCTTCCTTACCCAGGACCCCGTAGCCAAGGCCCAGCCTTCCTCTAGGCAGCACATCTCATTCCATCTTTTACTCGCAAACTGTCCTCCCTCCCCGCCGTTTCTGTCCCTCCAGTCTAGCCCGAGTCTCCCATCCCTGGGGACTGGCACCCCTTTCCCATTCTTGTGGCTTGGTGCCTTTGCTTCTCTCCGTCTGAACAGTTCTCGTTTCCCTTTGTTCCTAGGTCTAGCCCAGGGCCACCGTGATCTCTCTTCCATGTACCTCCAGCAAACTCTTTTTCCCCTAGGCATCTTCTCCCCTTCAGGAAAACTGGTCCCTTAGCATGCCAGCTCCATTTCTCTTTCCCTTCTGGGGTTTGCTTGGCATCGTCTTCCACCATGTTCTCAACGCTGCACAGGATTGGAACCTGAGTCTGCTGGTGTCAAGGGGATTTGACTGGCCAAAACTTGAGAAAAGCACCAGATCTCAGAAGGACCTGTGTGACAAGGGAGCATGTGCTGCAGCCTTGAAGGAGCCGAATTGGCAGCTCCTTCCTGTTGTGAGCATGTTGGCTGAGGACTGTCCTCCTGGTCTGGGGTGCAGACCCTTCTTCTAGCTCCTCCTTAGGTCTCAGCATAACAGTTCAGCTGGAGCCTGTTGGCATAGTGGTCTCCCTGGGGCCTCTACCCACTGCCCTCAGTGAGCCTTCTCTGTGTGCCCAAAAACCCTGTAGAAAGCAGATTGGAGGAGCCAGCCTGCTCTCTGGATGAGGCAAGGGTTTCCTGTCGCATGTGGCCCAGCGTGTCCTCAGGAAGAGAACTCAAGTGAAGCACAGATTTGTCTAGGCATTGTCACAAGGCCACCACAACCGTCTAGGAACAATACTCTAGGTCTGTCACTTTTTTTCTTGTCCAAATTGACCCGATCCCCAAAGCTTATGTTACATCCAAAGAGGTGGACAAAATCATAATCTTGCAACTGAATGGGCCCAATGGGTGTGACCGGGTTTTCGCAGCCCAGAGCAACTTAGTGAGTGTGTGGGCTTAAACTTTTGGTACAGGAGAACATGCTTGCCCATCTGTCACCTGAGTGCCTGACATGTCGTGCCACCCTGAGCACAGGAGTGGTGAGGAGAGCCCTGGGGTGCAGTGGAAGCAGTTGTCCTTGCTCTGGTGGTGTTTTACCCCCTCCCTGCATGTGGCCCCACATACAGGTTCCCAAGAATACACACGGGCGGTCACCTCTGTTTGAGAAGGCCCTCCACAGTGAGGATGGCCCTCCCATAGCTGCATGGGATGGGCATGCAGATGCTTTAGCGTGTGCTGTGAGCTGGGATCTGCAGCTGGGTCCAGAGTGTAAAGTGGGTCATTGCCACTGGGAGGTCGTTTATCTGTGGAATGGTACTAGGATGTGGGGGGACAGTGCCCTCTGCGGATTGAGATTTCCCCAGAAGCTTGTGTCAAATGCCAAGATTAAGGGAATTTAAAACTTTTGTACTGATTTTTAAGAACATTTATGTTGCTTTTCCTTTTCATTGAGCCAAGGTATTGGTTAGGAAAAAGCAATCTTGATACTAGAGAAAACTGGGAAGCTGTTCATTTTCCTCTTTTGGTCCACACTTTTTTAATCTTCATTATTTCTCTGTAATAAGTCCCGGAGTTGAGTGGGCAGGGGAAGATGCTGTGGGAAGTCAGAAGGAGCTGACATCTGGCTTCACACTGAGCAGGGTGACTGAGCTCTGAGCATGTAGTGCAGGTAAGTGGCCAGGCCAAGTGGAGTGGCTCCAAGGGTCTACTGCCCGCCTGTCCCAGGAGCCCACACTGAGGGAAGCATGAGGGTGCGACTGAACTGTCTGGAATGAGCCCTGATTGGGTCCATCAGGGACTGTTGAGACCCTGTATTCTCAGGCATTCTGGGAAAGTGGAAGATAGGGTTGTTTGGGGTATCTCAGCAGGGTTTGGGTAATGCTTGAAGTGATATAAATTAAGCAAAAACAAAAATTCGAACTGTAGAGGTGTGAAGCTGTGTGGCCCCACCCATTGAAAGGCTTGGTGTGAATAGTCACGTCCCCAAGAGGGCCAGGCCCGTTCCCCCTCCTCACCTGTGAATATGCTAAGTTACAGGCCAAGGGGAATTCAGGTCGCTGATCTCCTGCAGAAACAGGGTTGGTCTCTTGCATTTTCCCTCAGGCCCCACATGAATGTGGGGTCCTTAAAGTGGAAGAGGGAGGTAGAAGAGTGAGAGGGAAGTGACAGCAGAAAGGCACCAGGAATGCCATGTGGCTGACGTCAGAGGGGGAGGAAGGAGCCACAAGGCAAGGAACAGGCAGCCTCTGGAAGCTGGAAGAGGCCAGGAAGTGGATTCTCCCCAAGAGACTGGAAAAGGAACCAACCAGTTCTTGATTATAGCCCAGTGAGACCTTTGTCAGACTTCTGTCCTACAGGACTGAAATAAATAGTTTTGTGATGTTTAAATTGCTGAGTCTGTAGAAATTAGTTAAAACAGCAGTGGAAACTAACACCCTGCTCATAAGTAGTTGACTTAAAAAATAAAAACCCAGCCAGGCGTAGTGGTGCACACTTGTAATCCCACCAATTTAGGAGGCTGAGGCAGGAGGATCCCGAGTTCAAAATCAGCCTCAGCAATTGAGCGAGACCCTAAGCAACTTAGTGAGACCCTATCTCTAAATAATACATACGAAAAGGGCTGGGGATGTGACTCAGTGGTTCAGTGCCCTTGTGTTCAATCCCCAGTACTAAAAACAAAAACCAAGGCTGAAAACAAGTCATTTTTTTTTTTAAGAGAAAGAGAATTTTTTGCTATTTATTTTTCAGGTTTTGGTGGACACAACATCTTTATTTTATTTTATTTTTTATGTGGTGCTGAGGATCGAACCCAGTGCCCCGCGCATGCCAGGGGAGCACGTTACCACTTGAGCCACATCCCCAGCCCCCAAAACAAGTCATTTTGAAGTGACAAGTTGGTGCCAAGAGCAGCTGCGAGTGCCTTTCCTTGCAGGACCCTGCGTGGGTGGGTGGAGGTGTTGAGTTCTGGACCCTGAGCTGGGGGCCTTGGGGGGCAGGGGTCTTGGGGGGCAGGCGGCCTCAGCAGTCTCTGGCGCAGGCATTGCTTTCTTACTTCCCTGTGCTGCCCACCTGTCCAGATTTGAAATGGGCTCAAGGGCAGTAGCGCGGGTAAGCAAGGGACCCTTTCTGTGAGACTTGCCGTCGCGCATTCTCTCCGGTACAGGAGTGAGGGACTGGGAGACCCAGCACCCAGAGCTGTCCCGCCCTGCCTGGATCCTGAAAGGGAGGAGTCTGCTCTGACAGTGCCTTAAACCTGTTTGTTCTACTACCTGCCTTATTGCACTTCTTAAGGAAGTAGGAGAGACCCGTAGACTGGCCGGCTGTCTGCTCGCGGTGGAGAGTGGGTGCAGGCCTGGGGTTTCCATGGAGGTAGGTTTCTTCTGAGTCATGGCTCTTCCTAACAGTGGAGGAGCTACTCACTCCCAGGATAGGGACACAGCCTGGGTGGCCTCCTGGGTGTGCATAGAGAAAAACACCCTGTTTCCTCGCTGCTCCCATGCTACCTAAAAACGTCCTTTGGAGTGGGCAGACATCTGTGTCTGCCACTGCTGAGCCTTGCTGTTTCTGGCGTTTTGGTAAAGGAATCTGAAATGCCTGAAGGTCGGTGAGCCTTTCTCTGTGCCTGCTAGAAAAGGGGTAGAGGAATCGGGAGCCAGAGCCTCTAAGGTAGCTGGTGCTCTGGTTGCTCTTTCCAGGGAGCACCAACAACATGGGAAGAAGCCGGCTAGCAGGGTGCGGTCCTGGAAGGCTTCTGAGCCTGGGTGACACTTGTTTGCAGGCCCCCTGCCAGGTGCACTTGGCTGCCCAGGAACCTGGGGCTTTTCACTGCAGCCTTTGTTCTTTTTTCCCTTATGAAAACTTCATGCTGCAGGTGGGGGTGACAAGCTTCTTTCACCTTTGAGGGTGCAAGGGTGTGAGGGGGACAGGCTCAGCTCCTTTCTTCTGGGACCAGCCCCTGTCCATTTGTCTTTCATCGGCTTCTGTTGCTGGTGGCTGTGTGTCTTTTAGATGAATCTGTTTAGTGCCCAGGGGCCTGGAATGTGGCTGCTCAACTGGCCTGCAGTTCAGGGGGGTGTAGGCCACAGAGGCGCAGGGCCTTCCTAGCAGATGTCAAGCCATGGGAGAGCTAGAGGATGAGGTAGTGACTGAGCTTGTACACTTGGCAGAGAGGGAAGCCAGCCCCAGGGGCCAGCAGAGAGGCCCCCTGGTTTTAGGAGGGACAGAGCACTGAGAGGCACAGAGAACATGCAGGAAGTTCAGATCCAGGCTGTGCAGCGGCCCAAGGAGAGGGGGACCAGTGAGTGTGGTGTTCTTCTGAGATGGTGACACAGGTGCCAGGGGCTCAGGAAGGACTTGTCCCCCTTCATGGGTTCACAGATCTGCCGTCCACAAACCAAAGTTCAGTACTTGCTGTGTCCCATGAATAGTCTGAAGAGTGAGTGAGGTGAGCCAGAGGAGGCAGCAGCACCCAGCCTGCTGGGGACCCCGAGCTGAGTGGCAGAGGGAAACCCTTTCCCTGACACAAAGTGTAGGGATGTGGCCACACCCAGGCCTCAGCTGCTGCAAGAGGGGCTGCTGGGAGCAGTGGGCTGGAATTTTGACAAGAATGGTGGAGATGTGGTTGGTGACATAGGGATGTCGAGAGAGCTGAGCAGCAATACCTGCAGGGGCTCCAGGGCCAGGGAGGCCAGGGAGGACAGCAGCACAGTGTGTGACAGCAGGTGCCATCTTCCCTGGATGTGCAGCTCAGATGTGCAGCTAAACGGGTCACATGTCAGGGACTTGATCTCAAGCTGTGAGTTTGCAGGATGACTAGGTTGGGGGCACAGAGGAGACAGGGTTTTGAGGGGCAGTTGAATAATGGCCAACTACGACATTTATTTTTCATTCCTCTGGCAAATGTGCACCAAGTTTCTACCAGCTGCCCAGTGGTAAGCTGAGTGTGAGGGACAGCAGAGCAAGTCCCCGCACAGAATTCAAGGCAGAGCAAGAACAGTTGCATAAGGCTACAGATGGTGGAGGGCAGGAGGGACATGGTCTTTCCAAGGAGTGGACATTCAGAAAATCCTGAAGATGGAAGTGAACTAGCCATGCAAAGAGCAGGACCATAGTGTCCCAGGCAGGGGAACAGAAGCTGTGCCCTGGGGATGAGGGCTGTGGTAGCCAGGACCAAAGGAGACCAGCATGGCTGGGGCTGGCAAGCAGAGGAGGTGGTGGAGAGTGGGGAGGGCTGCACTGGAGGCTGCAGGACTGTGTTCCTGGAACGAGAAGCCTGAAGGTCCCATAGGCTGTGGTGCAGGCTGCTGGGTGGCAATGAGTTGCCAGGGAGGACAGTGGCTGTAGAGGGACTGAGGGAGGCTGCTGGCGTGGTATAGTGAGGGCTGAGCCTAGAAATGGACTGGAGTCAGGGATAGGAGGCCAGTTTTGAATGGTTAGCTCTGCCAGTGGACTTTGGGAATGAAAAGGGAGGGATCAGGTCACTCTGAGGATTTCTGTGGTGGTTGGTATCTTTTCGTTGAAGTGTAACACCCACTCAGAAAGGTTCACCTCCTAGGTTCTGGTGAGAGTCTCTGCTTGGCAGCTGTGCATATGGCAGCCTCCTCACCATGCCATTCGTGGGAAGATGGGGTGAGGGGCTTGAGGGGAGGGGGCCTAGGACTTATGTTTTGGAACATCATGTTTAAGATGCATGTTGGAAATCAGGCAGCATTTTGCATAGGAGGTGAGATGGAGGAATTCAGAGCTCAGTGGTCACATCAGGCGAAGGATAAACCGCTGGGACTCTTGGCCTGGCCAGTGTTTGAAGCCCTAGGGTTGAAAAAGGGACAGGGAGAAACAGAACCCATCAGGGAAAAGTCCTCCAGGCAGGAAGGCCACAGTGACCACCTGTGGCCATTGCCAAGAAGCAGCCCTTGCCCAAGAGACCCACCCTGTGAGGTGGTTGCCATAGCCCCTTAGGGGCCTGGAATCTTCTCCCACTCTTGCTCAGAATAGCAGACCTCATGCACACACTTCACCCTTGAACCTGGCCCTGCAGGCTAAAACCCGACTGTCCAAGGAGAGGGCGTGAGATGCAGGCTTCCATGTGGGGCATTGCCCTGTAAACGGCCTGCAGCCTGGATGTGGGTGCCTCGTGGTCAGGTGCACAAGGGCCCAAGGTTCACACACAGCTGCTGGGGTGCCCAGACCATTCCCAGATGTTGCGTGGCGGTGAGAGCAGCAGCTGCCCATGAAGTCACATGTGTTTTGTTCCCTGTTTTCTTGAGGTGGCAGACATGCTCCATTGATCCAGAAGGGAGGTACTGAACTGCTTTAAGTTGAAGGTGGAAGGGCCAGGAGCAGTGGCCAGCTGTGTCCCCAGCAGAGCCAGGAGCAGCTTCTCGATGGCACTGGGCAACTGTCCTGGAGACAGGCAGCTCCCCACTCCAGGGAGGGGGGCAATGCTGATGCTGGCCTGGCACCTCTGTGGTCCCGCTGAACCATCGCTCTCTGCCTGGAAGCAAGCAAGGAGGGTGTGGAAAAGAGCCACCACTCCTGCCCACCACCACCAGCGCCCAACCCTGAACTTGCCTGGGGTGTGGCCCGGGAGGGGCCCAGGGCTTGGCCAAGGCCTTGGGTGAGCCCAGCAGTCCTCTGGAGCCTGTGTACACACAGGCTGGGCCCCCAGCAGCAGGAGTGGCTTGGACTCTGTCCCTGCAGTCGTGGAAGTTAGTAGAAGGCGCCAGGGAGGAGTCGCTTCCAGCCGCACATCAAGTCGGTGGAGGTCTTCTGCCTGGCTCCCATCTGCTTTATTTTTCATTTCATGGGCTTGGCCCAGGAAGTAAAGCCTCATTCGCCTACTAAGCCCCTGTCCAGTCTGTGCTGGGCACTGACTGGGAGCTGGGGGTGCTGAGGTGGAGGCAGAAATTAACAGTCCCGCTGTGTAACATGGGGAGGGCTTATAGGACATTATTGACATTTGGGTCTGTGCCCCCTCTGTTGCCCTGCTCCCTTCCCCACTTGACTCCCCTGTTTGTTCCCCTTTAGAGTCTGTAAGACACCAGCCCACTCCAAACCCCTCATTCTTGCTCATCTTTATGTCTTGCCAGCTGGGACAGGGACAGGGGATAATTTTTCTTCTAAAAAGATGTTGTCTTGCTGAATAAGAGTAAATAAAGCTTGCTGGGGTCAGGTTTTGACAGAGCCACGAAAGCCCGTTTCTTCTGGATAAGCCTGACTGCAGCCTGGCCACTCTGCTGAGACCATGTCCTTCCTGCTTGCTGACCACTCTCCTCTCTCCTTGGAGTGCAGGTTCTGCTCGGTGCTCAGTCTGATGCCCATCCAGCCCTCTGACCACCTGGAATGGAATGAGCCTATGCACTCCCTCCGGATAAGTGTGGGGGGACTTCCTGTGCTGGCGTCCATGACCAAGGCTGCAGATCCCCGCTTCCGTCCCCGCTGGAGGGTGATCCTGACATCCTTCGTGGGCGCAGCCCTCTTCTGGCTGCTGTACTCCCACCGCCCAGCCCCAGGCAGGACTCTTGCTCACAATGCACACAACTGGAGACTTGGCCAGATGCCTGCTGCCCACTACAATGACACCTACCCCCTCTCGGCCCCCCAGAGGACACCAGGTGGACTTCGGTACCGAATTGCAGTCATTGCTGACCTGGACACAGAGTCTAAGGCCCAGGAGGAAAACACCTGGTTCAGTTACCTGAAGAAGGGCTATCTGACCCTGTCAGACAGTGGGGATAAAGTGACCATTGAGTGGGACAAAGACCATGGGATCCTAGAGTCCCACCTGGCAGAAAAGGGAAGGGGCATGGAGCTCTCTGATCTGGTCGTCTTTAATGGGAAACTCTACTCTGTGGATGACCGCACGGGGGTCATCTACCAGATCGAAGGCACGAAGGCTGTGCCCTGGGTGATTCTGTCTGATGGCGATGGGACCGTGGAAAAAGGTAAATGGAGCCACCTTCTGTTTTCACCTGTTTTTCATGTGCTGGGGAAGCTGACCCAGGGCCGTATGCATGCCAGGCAGATGCTCTACCCCGAGCCAGGTCCCAGCCCCTAAAGGGAGCCACTTCTGGCAAGTTCTCATCAGGGCCTGTGCTGGGGGACCCCGGGCCAGCTGGCTGTAGTTGGGTTTGCAGTTGAAAAGTAACCCTGGTGCCGGGTGAAGACTTCATACAGCCAGAAGTGCGAGGCTCTCACCTACTCAGCCCTGCACCCCCACCATGAACAGGAGCCACCCATCCATCACATCCAGCTGTTTCTAGAAGTCAAAGCTTATCACTAGAGCCCTCCAGAGAGCGGGACATTTCTTCCAGAATGAGTTTTAGGACCATGTCACTTCTGCTTTTGCTCCCTTCAGAACCATGTCCCCTTGTGTATCTTCATAGGCATCTTAGGATTGGGCTGGGGTCCACCCCCAAGTACCTTACCTTGAAACCATGGTGGCCGGTGGTTCTGTTTTGAGCGAGACTTTGATCTCAGCTTCTGGAACTGGGAAGCCACTGCTACCACCCTGAGCCTATAGAAAAGGTCTCCTGAACTATCATGCTCTGCCCGGAAGCAAGCAGGGCAGGGCGGTGGTAAGGAGCCACCATTCCTGCCCACCACTAGCACCCAACCCTGAGCTTGGGTTTCCCAGGAAGGAGTTACTGCTTCTGGGGCAGGGATGAGCTGCCAGAGCTATCACATGGAGAGAGAGCCCAGGCGCCCAGGGCATTGGCCAGGTTGGCGCATCATTCCCCATTTGAGCTCTTTGGGGACCTGCCCCTTTTAGAAAGTTAAATGCACCTGGAGGCTCTTTCAGGTCAAAGAAGGAATTGCTCTAACTGGGCTCCCATGGCAGCCTCTCAGGCCGTCTCCCGGGGATGAAATCCAGCATTGCCCCCGGCTGGGTTGTTGGAGGGACACATCTCCATGTGGGAATCAGAAGATGTTGGTTGCCCAACTTCCTGCTTCATGTCCATCAGGGCTTTAGGCTGTCATTGTGTGGTTTCGTTCTTCCTCTTGGACCAGGAAGAAAGCAGGGTCACAGGGCCTTTGGGACTGGCCTGTGCTCAGGGCATCCAGAAGGGACTGAAGACCCAGTGAATGGAGCATCTTATCACAGATGTGGCTCAGGAAACGAGGTCACTGGGGCTGCCAGAATTCAGCAGGACCCCCCAGAGCCACCTGCAGAGAAGTCTCCCAGGAGCTGCTGTCCTCGGTGCAGGGAGGGGCTGGAGCTCCAGCGCCTTTGAGCTGAGAAGCTTGCAGGATATTTGGGAAAACAACCACAAGTTAGCATCAGGGGTTAGAACAGGTCAGAATGTGCTAGAAGAACAAAGGCCCCCAGCCTGAAGTGTGCTGCAGCCTTCAAAGGTTGGCTCATAGTAAATAAGTCAGCTAAGAGGAAAACAGAGGTAGACCTGAATAAATACATCAAAATGAAGACGCATCTGAACACCAGGCCTCCTGGGCAGTCCCGCCGCAGACCACACGGGCTGTCAGGCCTGCTGTCAGGCCTCCAGCATCTGAGAGTGGTCTTGGGGATGGGGGGCAGCTTGAGGGGTTGGGGGCGGAGGGGAGGGGAGGGTGGGGCTACAGTGCCGGAGGGACTCAAGCCGCTCACAGAGACTTCCTGCTAGGGTTGCCAAAGGAAGATGGGGTCTTCCTCAGAGGGCAGAAAGCGGGGAGGGAGGTACTGCCGTCTCTGGGATGCCTGGGTGTGGGGCTCTGCATAGGCTCCTGCCCCTGCCCAGTGAAATTCAAATGCCGTGACTTCTGATGTCCAAAGCTGCTGCGCCGCCGGCCGCCAGGGCTCCGTGGCCTGACTGGCGGCAGCTCCTGCAGGCCCGGCATGGGGGGAGGCGTGGCGTAAGTGGGGCGGCCAGCCACAGGCACTTTCCCCCTCTCTCCTCTCCTTGCCTCAGGCTTCAAAGCTGAGTGGCTGGCTGTGAAGGACGAGCACCTGTACGTGGGCGGCCTGGGCAAGGAGTGGACCACCACCACCGGGGAGGTGATGAATGAGAACCCCGAGTGGGTGAAGGTGGTGGGCCACAGGGGCAGTGTGGACCACGAGAACTGGGTGTCCAGCTACAATGCCCTGAGGGCCGCCGCTGGGATCCGACCCCCAGGTAAGAGGCTGGCTCCGGCCCAGCCCCCACAGTCACCCCACAGGTGTTAGGTCTGAGGCCCCAGGCACAGTGACAGTCGCCTTGTGCTCAGTGTTCGTCTCTCTGTGGTTGCTGCCCTCCGGCCAGGGATTCCAGGGCTCAGGGGCCATTTTCTCTTTGTCTCTGCCTGGTCCTGACAGTACCTCCACCGCACCCCGTGGTCCACACAGGAGCAGCCCCAGCGTGGGCTATCTCTGTTCCAGAGGTTGGGGCCATGGTCCCTCCCAGTGACAGCAGGAGGAGGTGGGCAGTTCTGGCCGCCTTCCTCGACCCTTGTCCAGGGGTGTGTGCTTCTCTGGAGGCTGGGGCAGCTCCCGGTGCAGGAGGAAGTGGCTGAGCCGAGCTCCTCCTGCGGGTGCTCCTGTCTTAGAAGGGAGGGGCAGGCCTCCTCTGCCTCAGGCTGCCTCCCCTCTGGTGGCTTTGCCCACAGGTCAGACTTGCCTGTTTATTTTGTCCCCTCTCTGGGCCCTTTCTCTTTTCTGTGCCCCTTCATTAGCACCAAGGAAACAAAAATAGAGACAGAATGCCTGTCTCATGGGCACCTGGGTCAGCATCAGGAGCCAGGCTACCAAAGGCTTAGAGCGGCATTTGCTATCTGCTGTGCCTGCCTGTGCTGTCACCAGCCACAGGAAGGTTGGTGAGGGCCCTCGGTTCCTGCTGCCCACAGGTCCTGAGTCCCTGCTCCCTGCCACTGCAGCGAGGGCCAGCACACCTGATGGGAGGGGGAGGACCGGCTGGGGCATCCTGCCGAATGTGCTTGGTGACCTGTTTGTCCTGTGTCCTAAGGCTACCTCATTCATGAATCTGCCTGCTGGAGCGACACCCTGCAGCGCTGGTTCTTCCTGCCTCGCAGGGCCAGCCACGAGCGCTACAGTGAGAAGGAAGATGAGCACAAGGGCACCAACCTCCTCCTGAGCGCGGCCCAGGACTTCGGGGACATCTCCGTCCGCCGTGTTGGGGAGCTGGTCCCCACACATGGCTTCTCATCCTTCAAGTTCATCCCCAACACTGACGACCAGATAATCGTGGCCCTCAAGTCTGAAGAGGACACTGGCATCATCGCCAGCTACATCATGGCCTTCACGCTTGATGGGCGCGTCCTCCTCCCAGAGACCAAGATAGGAAGTGTGAAGTATGAAGGAATAGAGTTCATATAGATTAAAATGCTCCCAGCGCCAGCAAGGCTGAGCAGGGCCTCTGGTTCTGTAAAGCCCAGGGGACTCACTTCTGTTGTCTTCTCTTTGTAACCATGAGGTGCGTATCTGGCTTCGTCCCCAGAGCAGGGAGTTCAGTCCCTGGCGGGGAGCAGCCCGAGGTTGTGAGCGGCAGGGAGGCCGCCCGGCCCTGGCCAGCTCCCAGCTCTGCACTGCCGGGCGGCTGCAGAGACGGACCGCTGCAGGCATCTTGATCTGGGCCGCCGGCCGCCCGCCAGGTTCTGCCCCCCTCTGGCCCACATGGCCTCCCGGGCTTGCCTTTCCCTGTGCTCTCTGTGTAGTCGGTGCTTCAGGAGCACCTAGGGCACTGAAGCAGGTGCCCTGTCTTGGAGACCACAGGGAGTGGAGGCAGGCCTGCTGTGAGGAGCTCCCAGCTACCCCCACCCTCCTCTCAAACCCGGGCATCCATTCCATGCGCCCCCAGATCCTTGGAAAGTAAATGTTTACACTGCAGGATGCATGGAGCATGGTGGCCTCTGGGGACACCTGCCCACTGCTGACTGGCACCCTGCAAGGTTGCTCCCAGCCACCCCACAGCCAAGGACCCTGCTTCCTCCCTTTGGGAATGTTCTATGGCTGTGTAGCACTGTGAGGTTTTAATTATTAACTTATTTTTACTAAAGTAGTTTCCTCTCTTATCAAACAGAATCACCAAATCTCACCCCACAGAGCAAAGTCACAGTGAATAAATTTGCCACCAGCGGCAGGAAGTTGTCACTAAGCAGCCACAGGTGGCAAAGCCAGTTTACAGTGGTGTCTGAGTGCTTGGCTCGCGGCCATTCCCTGGCAGCTTTCAGAAGGTGCCTTGCCCTTCAGGACTCTCACGGATGACTTGAATGTCTCGTTCCCTGACCCAGGAGGCACCCTAGTTCTGGCCGGCCAGCAGCTGACCCTTGACCAGGGCAGCTTTGTTCTGGAGGTTGTCCTGCCACCCCCTGAGTTTCTCTCCATGGCCTTCCTCCTCCCTGTGGGAGTTTTGCAGCCTCCTCTCTGTGGAAGCTTCGCACAGACTTGGCTCCTTGTTGGTCCCTGTTGTCTCTTCCCAGTGCTGGGGAGGTGGGGGTGGTTGGGGACAGAGGTAAGGCAGGACTAAGCCAAGAAGGGATGAGTCCATTCATCATGGCATCCCTGCCTGGCTGCCCCACCCTGCGACAGAAGCTCGGCGGTGGTGGGAGGGACCCTTGGCTGCATCTGGCCCTGTGCTGACCCTTGCAGACCTCTTCTACTTGGAAACTGGGACAGTCCCCTGCCGGACTCTGGTGAGACGTCCTGCACAGCTTGGTCCTCCTGCTGTAGGAGAAGCAGCAGAGCAAAGACGCTCGACTGAACGTGATGTTTCTCCAAGCCGGGCTTCCTTGGGCGCAGCCACGATCCCGCTCTCCTGCCTTTGCCTGGCGGGCTTCTGAGCTGCCACCCCCTGAGCGTTGATGCCATCAGAGCTGTTCTTTAAAACAGAATCAAGACATCCAGAGGCCGGGCAGTCGCTAGCTTGAGGCGCTCTTGATGTGTTATGGGGCCCCTGGGCCACAGGCCTGGTGTGCGAGTGACTTCCAGAGACCTTGAAGCCAGCCTTCCCTGTCCCCGTGTTCGCTGCTGTCAGCATGATGATTGTTTCCTTCCCTTTGTCCGTTTGTTTCATAAACAATAAAGCGCAAGGGAACGTGAGTGCTCGTCTCCTGCTCTGTGCTGACCAGGCCAAGTCCCCCCCAGGGCACCCTTCTCTCAGGAGCACGGACAAAGCCGGGCAGGAGAGTCCTTGCCCCCCCCCCCCCCCGGGGGCAGTGGGACAGGCACCTCCTGGCCCGGGACGCCTCTTGGGAAGCCGTGGCATCCTGTCCAGCTTCCACGGTCTGCACAGGCCCCAGGGTGTGAGGAACGGAGGCTGAGAGCACAGGCTCCTCAGCCCTGCTGGCCCTTGCTGTGTGTCCAGGACACATTCCCTGACTTCCCTCCCCTGGTGTCCTGGCCATGTGGATAGTGAGTGAATGTGCGTAAGGGCTCTGAGTGGCCACGTGCAGGTACCCGTGTTGTTGCACATCCTGGTGGGTACGCCTCGGAGCCTGGGTAAGGAGGTGGTGCTCGGGTGAGAAGTCTGGGCCCTCCCAGAAGTCTGCCCTCCCAAGGATCACAGAATCCTCATGCAAAGACCGTGGCACCTCAAAACAGGAGGGAAGAACAAGACGGAGGGGCAGCTAGAGAGAAAGGGAAGCTGGTGGTGGCAGCAAGCTTGTCCGTCATCCCCCTGTCCCTTCAGCCCTGTCCCTCCTTCCCAGGAGATCTTGTGGGTGACTGGGAGGAGTCTGACTCCCCAGGGCTTTGCCTACTCCTGTCTAGGCCCAGTGACCACCCATCCTGGCAGCCTGAGGGTGCTGACAGTGCCACTGCACAGCCACAGATACCGCGTGGCCCCTTCCCCCTATCACCCCTTTGCAGAGAGTCCCTGTGCTGCAGCCTCCCAAGATCATCCTAATCAGGCAGAGAACTTGTACAGCCAGGGAGGGAGACCTCAAAAGGACTTAAGGACCCCCCCAGGAAGGGGACCGCAAGAAGGACCCAGAAAGCAGGGTCATGCAAGCCAAAATCCAGAGTGTCGGTGACTGAGCACCAAGGACCTGGGCAGGGACGGAGGAGAAGCGGCTAGGATGAGGAGCTGCCAACCCAGGAGGAGGAAGCAGCCGGTCTTGGCTGGCTCTTAGAGGAGCAACTCCAGGAGCCACAGGCGGGAGCTGGGCTGCTGGGCCTCGGGGGTGCACTCCTGTCCCCCCGCCACGCCCGGGGAGGATGAGGAACAGCTGTCGGGGTCTGTGTGGACCAGCCCTGAGGCCCTCGACCTGAGGAGGCTGTAAGTTGCCTCGTCTGCAGTCTCCCTGGGTCTCCACAGCTCCTCTGGGACCTGGATGGCCGGGACATGTGGTCACGACTCTCCGACACCTGCACTTGCAAGCTGGGCTCTCAGCTTTCGGGGAAGCAGAGCTGGCCACTCAGAGGAGCCACTGGAGGCTTTTAAAGAGCCCATGCCTGTCCCTACCTTAGCGGGGTGACAGTGCACTGGAAATTTGTTCTGGGTGATTCTCCTCCAGCCCAGATTGGAAACCCTGATGGGAGAGCCCTGGGAACATTCAGGAGTACACCCCACTCTAGGACCTCAGCATGCCAGTGGTGTCACAGCAGAGGGCCTTCTGGGCCCAGAGGCCAGACCTGGCCCTGACTTGGGCCAGCCAGGCTGTAGCTGCACTCTCCGGCATCTCTGCCCCCGTTTTGGCATTCTCAGCCCAGACAATTCTCCCTAAGCCCAGAGCCAGCTCCTGCTGGGATAGCCGGGCTCCTGGATTCCCTCCCAAAGCCATCCATGTGGCTGAGGGGCTGCGGGCTCTCGCCAGCCAGGCCCAGCTCAGACTGGGGAGCCTGGAGCCCTCTGGAATCACATGAGCTGTTCCCCCAGAGGAAGTCAAGGCACCGGGGCTTTCCATGGGAGGAAGGGGAAGGGGTGTGAGCCCAGGAGGGCCATTGTGCTTCAGAGAATGCCCTGCCCCCACAGATGTCAGGAGGTGGTGGATGCAGTCCGTTGGTGCAGAGCACAGGCTGTGGGGTCAGTTGCTGTGTGAGGGTCGGGCTCATCCACTCACTGGCTTCACCCCAAAGCACACTGTCTCCCAGGTCTCAGGGCCTCCCTGCCCCTGGCCAGGGTCAGTGCATGGAGCCTCCAAGGGTGTGGCCTGCTGTGTGCAGCATGCCAAAAGCTCAAGCAATGGATTTGTGCACAATCACCACCACACAGGCTACCCAGCCAATGAGTGCCAGGCCCAGACAAGCTGGTAGCTTGCCAGACACAGCTACAAGCCCTCTGGCCCAGAGCCCCTGTTGCTCCACCCAGCAGCCCTGCCTCCCCCTCCCCCCGCCCCAACACTTCCCACCCCCTCAAGAGTGCTTCCACTTCCACTGGGCTGCTGGCCTTCTCGGGTCAGACAGTGCTTGGTGCTGTTGCCACCCCACTAGGCAGAGGGGGATGAAGGGCACTGTGAGGGGTCTTCAGTAGCCAATCCCAGAGCAGACCTTGGTCAGGTGGTTTCTGGAAATCGAAACCAGACTTGGTTTTCTGAAGCATTTCCTGGGATCGGTCTGGCCTGCTCTGCCCTAGGAGGGTTTGGGGGCCAAGGACCCATCTGCAGAGGGCTCAGCAACTGCAGGAGGGGGACAGCACAGCCTTCAGTCGCTGCCTCGACAGGTAAGCTCCCACTCTTGCTCTCAGGCCAGTGCTTTCCTCTCTCTACACTGAGCCATCAAGAGATGGTGAAGCCTCCCACTGGCATCTGGGCCTGGAGCTGGGGGACTGGTGCTCCCGAGCCCAGGACCCATCTTCCCTGCTCCCAGGACCCATCTTTCCTGCTCCCAGACCTGCAGGGCCTCTTTGTACAGTTGGGTAGGTTGTTCCCTGCACAAGGACACCAGCTGCGAGGGTAAGAATTCGGCCCTCAGCCTCTGTGCATTCTGCACCTTCCTGAAAGAAGGGTGACTTTCCTTCATTTGCATGAAGGACCAAAAGACCATATGAGCCAGCACAGGCAGCCTTGTCCCAATTCTCCAGGCAAACACAGCGCTGCCACCCAGAGTCAGCCACGTTCACATGCCATGCACCATCTCTGGGTGCATGCATCTCTGTTCCCAAGGCCCCGAATTCTTGTCCCATGTGAACAAGTAAAGAGGGAAGCCAGCCACCTCAATGCTCTTGGGATAGAGGTTTCCTGGGCACGGTGCTAAGACTGGGGTGGTGCCAGGTCAGGGAGGTGGGTGCCCCATCCTTCAGGCCCTACAGATACCCCTGTGGAAGAGAGGGGCACCACAGACCCTGCCTGAGGCTTGCCAGCCATGTGACCTGGAACCAGCCAAGCTCTCCAGGCTTTGGCTCATTCGATTGTACAGGGGGCAGGGAGGGATTGTGGAGGCATTTCCAGGGTCCTGGGAGGGGGTGTGAGTGGTGTTGGAGGGGGCACACCCTGCAGGGGGCAAACTCCTCACTTGCCAGTGGGCCTGGGGCCCCCCAGCTTGTTAATGCAGGTCCCAGTGTAGAGGGGTGCACCTCCTGCCACCCTGGGGATGTCACTACTGCCACCCACCAGGCCCCCACTCTAAGCAGCAGAGAACCAGGCCCAGCCTCAAGGTTACTGGGTGGCACAGGGCCGTCACCTGGCTCTGCTCCTACCTGTGCATCAAGTACATAGCGGCCAGGCGTAGTGGTGCTTGCCTGTAATCCCAGCTGCTCTAGAGGCCAGCCTCAGCAACATAGTGACGTCCTCCACAACTTAGTGAGACCTGTCTCAAAATCTGAAAAATTTTAAGACTTGCTGGGGATGTAGCTCAGTGGTGAAGCGCACCAGGATGAAATGCCCAATGCCTAAAATAAATAAATAAAATAAAATAAAAAGAGAATTACATACAGCACAGAGCTCTAGCCCAAAAGCTGAAGGCCTGAGACCTCCCATGCCCAGCCTGGCCCTTGGCCTTGATGGCCCCCAGTCTCTGAGCCTCAGTACCTTGAGTCTCAGTCATGACCCCACTCCCACCTGGCTGCACATGACCTGGGCCTCCACCCGGAGCCCTTCTCTCCACCGTCCCCAGCCCACACTCCTCTCTCGGCTATCAGTCTCTGTCACTCTGGGCCTGGTCCTGCGGCCTCCTCCTAATCGGTTCCCTGTCCCCACTCGGTCCTCTCCCTCCCACTCTCCACCTTTGCCGCCAACCTCTGTGGCACACCCCACAGGGGTCTGCTGCCTGTAGATAAGCCCCTGCCTTATCGGGCTCTCCACACCCTCCCCCTCACCTCCACTGCCCGCAGACACCCCAGCCCACCCTCTTCATCCCACACAGCCTCACTCACCCGTCAAGGCCCGGCCTGCAGACCAGGTGAGCGCCCCGCTCAGGGCGTGCATCACACCTGCCATTGGGCTCTTCAGGAGAGGGCTGCCTGCCTCCCTGGGCCCCCAGGTTGGAAGAAGGTGGTGGAAGAAACAGTCCTGGTCTCACTCTGCCACTTCCCTCCACCGCAGGGCCATGGCTCTCCCTTGCCTTCTCTGGGTGTGGCTGCTGGTCCCTGGGATTCAAGGTGAGTTGAGCCACGGGAAACCCCAAAGCAAAGCCTGCGGGCTGCTGGGCCCTTGCTCTGTGGATCAAGCCCCTCCTTAGGGGGGTGTCCTGCTGGTGCCTGGTCCCAGGGATTAATGGGGGTCTTCTCTCCTGCATGGAGGAGCCCTGGTCACCCCCAGTGACGGTGGCTTGTAGATTCTGGGGAAACTGGGGCTCCCTTGGACCCAGATGAGATGCAGGTGATTGAAATACTGAGGAATACCCGCCCCATGGGAGCCAGCAGAGCCAAGCAGGGTTGCCAATCAAACCAGCAGCCACTGGGGCTGTGCTGAGGCCAAGTTTCACAGGGCCCTGGACGCTCGTCCCTGTGTTGTAGTTAAAGCTTCGTCCCGGAGTTTCATAAACTGACTTCCAGACCACTCACATATAATCGAATCAAGCCTTTATTGAAGCACACCGGTGGTGACTGACCAGAACATAAAGCTTTCCTCTGATCAGCCCCAAACAATTGCAAGGCACTCCTTATAAGCCTGAAAACCACGAAAGGAACATTTGTGGGTCCAGCCAATGCAAACAAGCCAGGTTACAGAAGCGGGAGAGTGCAGTCAGGCGGAGGGACACTTAGCCAATCAGTTAGCCCAGTCACCCAGTTACAGAAACAGAGCCCGTTACCCTAGTTACAGAAACAGTGCCCCATCAGGTAGTTCCGTGTTCTTAAAGGTCTCTATAGCAAAAGGAAGAGGACAACTTGCCCTGGCCATGACCCTTCTAGTTGGCATGGTTGTTTTACAGAATGGAGTCACAAAACAAGATGGACTCACTTTGGCTTCACTGTCACACCTGCACTCTTGACATTGTGGGTCTTGCAGTCCCTGTCCTGTCCTGGTGGCCCCGCATAGACCTGACACACCCCCTGATCACCGCCCTTCAGGCACCCAGCTCCTGCTAGACTGTCGGCACCAGCAGGGTCGAGGGGTGCCAGTGCGCTGAGCCTCGGGAGGACGAGTGGGGGCAGGAGCCCAGTTTCCTCTCTGGGCTTGAAGTACAGATGGACTTGGAATTTTCTAACTTTACGATGGTACAAAGGCCTTAGGAATCTAGTAGAAACCGAATTTGAATCTTTTTTAAAATATGGTTTTAGGCATATTTAAATGATATGCACGCTCGCTCGTATACACACACAAGTGTACACCCATATTTAAATTGACTCCCCCGGGGCTGGGGATGTGGCTCAAGCGGTAGCGCGCTCGCCTGGCATGCGTGCGGCCTGGGTTCGATCCTCAGCACCACATACAAACAAAGATGTTGTGTCCGCTGAAAACTAAAAAGTAAATATTAAAAAATTCTCTTTAAAAAAAAATAAATAAATAAATTGACTTCCCCCAAATTATTTTGTGTGGCTTACAACAAAATACTTACATACAATAAAATTAAGTAAATGGACAGTCAAGGCCACCAGGAGGAGGAACATGCTAATTAGTGGGGCCAATGCATGATTGACAACCAGCTGTGAACACAAGAAAGGAGAAATGTTGACCCTTTTTATGTCATTTTAGCAAATTTTGTGAAGGCAATGATGTTTTCCTGGCCATATTTTTAATTCCAATGGTACTCACCATTGGAATTTAAAATTCTTGATACTTATTTTCAAATGAAATGATTAAATTTTTTAAAGTATTTGCAAAAGGACTGATGCCGAAGAGCATAAGAGAGTACCTGAGGCAGCTCCTCTGTAAACCCCAAAGTCAGCTTGTACATCAGAGTCAGCTGCAGGCAGTTCCCCTCAGTCTGGTGCCCCAGGATCATGTAGAAGACTGGAATTCTGTCACTTCTCCTAGGAGAAGGCAGTTTTCCTTCCCTGCTTCTGGCGTTCACAAGTGACCCAGAGTCCAGTGTGTGTTCTTCTGTCAGTACAAACGTGCCACTAACATGCAAGACGTGTGTTTCAACCTTCATTTCCCCAGTTCTAAAGGCGCTGGACCCACCAGTTTTTGGCTTTTTAATTTTTATAGTTATAGTTGGACACAATACCTTTATTTTTATTTATTTATTTTATGTGGTGCTGAGGATCGAACCCGGTGCTTCACATGTGCTAGGCAAGGGCTCTACTGCTGAGCCCCAGCCCAGCCCCTGGACCCACTGGTTTTCTAGAAGCAGATCAATGACTTGGAAGAGTTACGGAAGGAGTTGCCTTACTGTACTTTGTTATGCACCTTGTACTATCCGAGCCTCCAAAGGAGAACGCAAATCCATGGCCCCATGTGCTACATCCTGGGAGTCTACGCTCAGACTATGGAAAGCATTAAAACTCTGACTTTATTTTTTATCTACTGCATGCTTTTTAATTTTCTTTTTGTGTGTTATGTGTTTATAATAATAAGTAATGTACCCATGCAGTGGTACTTTTTTTTTTTTTTTGGTGGTGCTGGGGGTTGAACCCAGGGCCTTATGCATGCAAGACAAGCCCTTGACCAACTGAGCTGTATCCCCAGCCCCATTTTTTAATGTGTGCATAAATATACTGAAGCTATATGCTTATTTTACTGATAGCAGTGCAGTCCTGGGTTAAAGTTCCTTTTTCATTGGCATTCTGTGTAATATCGAACAGTCTTATCTAATTTGTCCCTGCCTCATTTCTCTTAGCGGCAAAATAGAGATAATAATACTTAGCATTGAACTCAGAACAGTGCAACTTGGGTAAAGATCACATTTTTCCTTTTGTCAACTAAATGCAGAGGATCATTAATATAACCTTTAATATCACCACTATAAAATACTATGACTTTATATACTTTTCCCTTTAAAATGACTTTCCTTTAAAAAAATAAGATATCACATTTCTAAATACCCCTTTGTTTTCTAAACCTCACAAACTCAAGTTTTTTCTGTTTCTCTTCACACTCTTACATCAATACACACACTCATACTCATTTGATAGCTTTATAAATGAGAGAAAGCCTGAAAGATGGCATCCAGGAAAAAAGAAGGACTTGAAATAATTTCTTATTCAGGTTGTTTATAAGTTTTAAAGCTATGCATTAGGCAATAAAATCACATTGCTTATTTAATCCTTAAAATGTTTGTCAAAGAATAACACACAGATTCTCAAATCAGAGGAACCTCAGGAAAACATCGATGGCCTCACACAATGCCTGCCACATGGGAGAAGCTGAATAAACTTTTAATGAAGGGAATCTGGGAAAAGCTTCTTACTTTAATCTTAAAAACGAAACTCAACCTTGATCATCACAGACTACGTAACTTGCTTAAGATCGCTCAACTAGTGAAAGAGTTAAGTCTAGGATTTATTCCTCCTAATTTCCAGCTCTAGCTTTCCCCCAGACATCTGTTGACTTGTTTATTTCAGACTTAAATACAATCTGCCAAAGGTGCAACACAGACTTAAAAAAAAAAAAAAATTGAGACCAGCTGTCAGATTCACCGTCTCCAAGTCACTGAACACACGATATTCACATATGATGGGAAATATGTAAAACAAAAGTCATATATCTACATATATACACTATGAAAACACAAGTCTTGCACATTTTGAATCTAAAGACCTATTTTTAAGGCAAGGGGTCAGTAAGCTGTCTTCCATGACTTACTCTACGTTAGAGCACAGTTGCCTGTCCACCAGCTAAAGCAGGTTGGCCATTGTTTTAGTCACCTTTTTCGCTGCTGGGACGAAAGGATCTGACCAGGACAACTGTCAGGAGGAAACGTTTATTTGAGGGCTCACGGTTTCAGAGGTCTTAGTCCATAGAAGGCCGGTTCCCCTCCTGGGGGCTGAGGGGAGGCTGAGCATCATGGCGGGAGAGTGTGGCAGAGGGAAGTGGCTCACACCAGGAAGCAGAGAGAGCCATGCTTTGAACCTTGACTTCTGATTCTTTCCTGGACTGGAAACACCTGGTCTATGCTCTCTTGCGATATTGTGCGGCGACCAGAGCTGCTTTCCTGCTCCAACTCAGACCCATGGCCTGGAGACTGGGGGCCGGCTGGCTGACTGCACCTGGACGTGCTGCTGAGCTGGGTCCAGCACCCCTTCAACTTTCCATAATTTCAATGACAGTGGGTTCCCCAGGACCCCATGGTGAGTCACAGGGCATTTGTGCTGCCTGAGCGTCCAGGCTCCCTGGCCTACTGCCCCACAGGCTGGCACCAGAGCCACAGGCGGGGCTCCTTCCCTTCCCATCTTTCCCTGGGGGGTCTCACCACTTCTGCGCTGAGGGGCTAGAGCACAAGGGTCCTGGTGTCCCTTTTCTGGGGAGCCAAGAGCTCAGGGCTTGAAGACAAGGAAAGGAAACTTAACCTCTGGTGCTCCATGTGGCCATTCCCTCCTCCCAGTGGACCCTCACCCCCGGCTGGGTAGCGAGGGAGGGTGGTGCCATGGGGGCCAGATCTCCTCCCAGCTGACCTTGGCTTTCCCCGCAGGTGTGAAGGATGGGGACATGCGGCTGGCCAACGGGGCCGCAGCTAACGAGGGCCGTGTGGAGATCTTCTACGGAGGCCAGTGGGGCACAGTGTGCGACAACCTCTGGGACCTCACCGATGCCAGCGTCGTCTGCCGGGCCCTGGGGTTTGAGAACGCCACAGAGGCACTGGGTGGAGCCGCCTTCGGGCCAGGTGGGGCCTGTTCTGTTCCCCAAAACTGAAGAGAGTGAGAATCCCCCAAGATGAGGCTGTCAGGGTGCAAGGACGGGCAGACTCTTCCTACTAGGGCAGTATAAGCAAACCCTCAGAGGCCCGAAGCCCTGCAGAAGGCCCCAAGGGGCGGTTCCTTCAGGCTTGGCTGGGGTGACAGAAGGTGCTGGGCGAGTGGCTCAAGAGCCTCACTGTGTGCCCTCTCCAGCCCCCAAGCTCTGCTCCCGGGAATCTGCTCCCTAGAACCACCCAGAGGTTTCCATTGTCTGCGGCAGCCCTGGCCCTGTTGGCAGGGCCTCCCCCAGCCAGCCTTGTCCTCCCTGCTGTGCTCCAGGAACGGGACCTGTCATGCTGGATGAGGTTGAGTGCACAGGGTCAGAGCCCTCCCTGGCCGACTGCAAATCCCTGGGCTGGCTGAAGAGCAACTGCAGGCACAAGCAGGACGCCAGCGTGGTCTGCTCCAACGGTGAGTGGCCCCAGTGCCTCCAGTGTCACGCGTCGGGGTCCCGTGGGACCAGGAGCGGGGACTGTGCTCACATCTCTGCCCCCCACCCAACCTTCGGAGTTGGGGTGTTGCTCCGCCCACTCTCCTCGAGAGGCCAGAAGTCTGCAGAGCCCACTCCCTCCCAGGAGGAGCCCCTTTGTGGAGCCCCTTCAGAAGTACCTCACTCACCTGACTGCCCACGGCCAGGCGAGCAGCCCTGCCCAGTGCCCGTGAGGCCCGAGCATTGGAGGCTGGTCTCCCCAAACAGCAGGGTTGCACGGCTCTCCTGGCCCAGGCCACAGACCACAGGCAGGGGTGGAGACTTCCCGATGGGGGAAGGCCAGGGTGCCCCCGGCCCTGCCCAGGCCCTGACTCCTTTCCCACTAGAAGGGCCCAGCCTGCTCTGCAAGCCAGACGCCTGGTGGGAGTGCCCTTCCTCTCTGCCAGGGCAGCTCTTCCTGGGCTGGCACACACGGGGCCTGGGTGCTCTCCACCCTGAGCTGGGGCCCCCAAGACATGGGGTGTCAAATCCCACCTGTTTGGACAAGCTGGGGACCAAGGCTGGCTGGGGTGGGGGCTCACCCTGAGGAGGACACTGGAGGCATAACTGGGCCATGAGGGCTGGGAGTCAGGGGAGGAGCGAGGGGCTGCCCCACCTGGTCTAAATGCTGGCCTCCACTCAGAGCTGCCCATCGCAGAGAGGACCTGTTCTAACACGGAGCAGGCTTTGGGAGGGCAGAAGAGGGGCTGCCCAGGCCTCCCTCCTCCTCTTCCAGGATCCCTGAGGTCTGACCTAGGTTTGCCCCAGGGCCCTAACTCCTCAAGCCACCCAAGCAGGGCCCAGAGTGGGGCAGAGCCACCTGCAGGCCCGGAGGGTCGGCAGGGTCCCGCCTGACCCAGGGCAGCTGCCCGCTCCCGGCAGGCTCGGCACGAACCCAGGTCTCTTCCTGGAGCCTTTCTGGCAGGTCCTCGGGCAGCAGCACCTTCAGCAGACCACAAAACTGACTCCTGGGGGTGGGGTGGGCTGGGTCACAGAGCAAGTGAGCACCTCCCTCGCCCTCTAGAAACCAGGAGCGCCCACACCCTCGACCTCTCCGAGGAGCTCTCCTTCGCGCTCGGCCAGGTCTTCGACAACCAGAGGGACTGTGACCTCTTCATCCACGTGGTGGGACAGGGGCCGGAGGAGCTGGACCTCTGTGCCCACACACTGATCCTGACCGCCAACCCCGAGGCGCAGGCCCTGTCGGGGGCGCCGGGCAGCAACATCACCATGAGCGTGGACTCCGAGTGCATGCCTGTGGTCAGGGACTTTATCAGGTGAGTCGCCTCGTCCTCGGGGACTCCAGCAGTGCCCTGGGCTGGGTCCCTCTTTCAGAGACCCTCGGGGGTGAGGGCGACAGCACCAGCACAGCGGGACTGTTGTGCACACAAGCAAATCACACCCTCACACAAGCATTTGCACAGTTGTGCACATGCACACGCCCGTGCTCCCACAGATCCACGTTCACGAATTCTCACACACACTTGCTGCAGGCACGCTTGTGCCCTCAGACAGGGACAGACTCACACATCTGAGCCTCTGCGCACACGGCCCAGGCACCCTCACTCGTATGCTCACCCACACTCTCACTTGCACACTCGACTGGGCCCAGGTGTTGCCCCCCGTGCTCACACCCGCATACACATAAATACATCCATTTTCCTGACGCACATGTGAACGTCTCCCTGAATCTCCACATGCCATAGACGACGTCTCTGAGCGCGCTGTGGATGGATCAGGAATTTTCCTTGGGCAGCAGAGCCCAGCTTGTTGTGGGGTGGCCGGGCGGGCAGGTGCAGGAGGAGCTGGGAAGGGGTGCTGGGCATGCCCCCCGGTCAGGAGAAATCTCCCACAGAGGCATGAAAAAGCCAAAATGGCTCGGACTTCCGATGAGACGCAGCAGTGGCTAGACAGGGTGAATGTGCCTCTCAGCAGGCCCGGGCTCAGTTACCCTTGGGCTCAGCCAGGGCTCAGTTCCCTTTCACAGACGGGGAAAGGGAGAGTGTGGGCCTGCATCACGGCAGAGGCCAGGCCCTGCTCCTGAGCCCCAGGCCCTCCGCCAGGCCTCCCGGCCAGCCTGGGTGTACAGCTCGACCGCCCACTGCCTCCTGGGGCTTGTGTTTGGAAAGCAGCCATGTTTTAAACACTGCGTCTATTACACTTTATCCTCTCATTCTATAACCCAAAGCTTTCTATGACAGAAAATGGCATTTAAGTGTGAGCGATATTGGCGATTAGAAACAGACTAACGAGTTTCCTTCCAGCCTGGTATAAAACTTGCTGAGTGGTCTGTGCCACAGGAATGCCGGGCTCCGTTTCTACAGCATGTCAGAGAAGGGGGCAGGCGCCCATCCCGGCCTTCCTGGCCAGCCAGCGCCACTGCCCTGGGTCGGAGGTCAGTGACCCCGTGCCCTCCCCTGGCCTCCCGCCTCTGTCTCTCTGTGTCCCTGTCTCTCCCTCTCTTCCCCAGGCAGGCAGAGAAGCTGCAGTGAGCTCCCAAGACCTCAGAAGGCCACCCATTCTCCTTCCCTCTACCCCTCACTCCCAAGGCCACCGTGGACCAAGAGGGGTGTCCTGCTGCTTAGCCAGCCCTCTGCCCGTCTCCCTGGGTCTCTGGGGCCCCTAGTTCCCCTTGGCCTCGGGCCTTTTTCCTCTCTCACAATGAGTTCTCTTCCCCGAGAGAGACCAGCAGGACCGGGACACCCACCTGATCCCTGTCTCTGCCTCCGCCTGGCGATGGGGCACCCTGAGAGGTGCCTGCCTGAGGCTGGGCCCTGGATGGGGTAGGTGGTCTGAGGCATGACAAACCCAAAGTGGCCCTGACCTCTGCCTGGAGAACCTGGCATGGGGCCAGCCGGCTGGAGCCTCTGCGCCTCTGTGGATGCAGTAGGGACTCAGCCGCCCAGGGACCATTCTGGCACAGGATGACATTTAAAAGCTAGTGTCAGCTGGGTGCAGTGGCCCATGCCTGTAATCCCATCTACCCAGGAGTCTGAGGCAGGAGGATCACAAATTCAAGGTCAGCCTCAGCCTCAGCAATTTAGCAAGACCAAAAAAAAAAAAAGAAAAAAGCCAATAACAACCTCTTCTTTGGTGGCCTTCCTAACTTGTCTGTGCCATCTGAGCCGTCATCAACAGCCTGCTGCCTGGCACCCTCCCTATGAGAGGCCTGCATGCTTCAGGATGGGTCAGCGAATGTCGGTCCTGGGTGGGCTGTGGCCAGAGGAGTCAGCTGCCCAGTTTGGCCTCCAAGTTGGCTGTGACGAGGACAGCAGGGAGTGGGCTGTCTGGGATCACCTCTGAGCACACCGTGCCGGCTGCCCTCGTGGGCTCTTGGTCACAGGGAGAGCAGACAGGAAGCCACAGGGTGCCCATCACTGGACGTGAATAGGTGCTGGGCAGAGATGCCCATGAGAACCAGGCAGGGACTGAAGGGTCAGTCGGGGGGGCATGGCTGCAGGACAGGAGGCCAGTGCCCAGGGTGCCTGAGGTCCAGCCCAGACCCACCACGAAGGTGCCCATGATGACAGCAGGAGAGACGGGGAGGGGACCTCATCACCGGGAGGGAGGACGAGGCGTGGGTGTCCCCTCCGCAGTCCCTCGCCCATGGTCCCATACCCTGAAGTGGCTCTCAGCTGGCGTGAGGTTTGGGGCCTGGAGAGTGGGGGAGACAGCGCCCCCTGTCGGGCCCAGTGAGAAGGCGTAAGAGATGGCTGTGTCCCCAGGTACTTGTACTCCCGGAGGATAGAGGTCTCCCTGTCATCAGTCAAGTGCTTCCACAAGCTAGCCTCGGCCTACGGGGCCCAGCAGCTGCAGGCCTACTGCGGGCGCCTCTTCTCCACACTGCTCCCCCAGGACCCCTCCTTCCGCGCACCCCTGGACCTCTACGCCTATGCACTGGCCACTGGAGATGCACTGCTGGAGGAGCTGTGCGTGCAGTTCCTGGCCTGGAACTTTGAGGCCCTGACGCAGGTCGAGGACTGGCTGAGTGTCCCCACAACCCTGCTCCAGGTGCTGCTTCCCAGGACTGAGTTGACTGTGTCCAGCGAGCTGGCCCTGCTCCAGGCCTTGGACATCTGGAGCAGGGGCACGGGCGCCTCCCACGGGGAGGTGGAGGACCTCGTCCAGCACGTCCGCTTCCCCATGATGCTGCCCGAGGACCTCTTTGAGCTGCAGTTCAACCTGTCCCTGTACCGGGCTCACGAGGCCCTGTTCCAGAAGAAGATCATACAGGCCCTGGAGTTCCACACGGTGCCCTTCCGGCTGCTGGCCCAGTACCGAGGCCTGAACCTCACTGAGGACACCTACATGCCCCGGATGTACACCTCAGCCACCTGGAGCGCTATGGTGACAAGGGACTCCAGGAACCGTCAGAACCAGGGGCTGTGGTATGGGTCCCGGTCACGGTTTGCATTCCCATACACTCCAGAACCTTATGGCGGCAGATATGGGCCCTACCGGTCCTTCCAGACCCCGCAACACCCCAGCTTCCTCTTCAGGGCCAAGCTGACGTCCTGGACTCTGCTCTACCTCCCCACCATGCAGAGCTGCTGGAACTACGGGCTGTCCTGCTCCTCCGGCGAGCTCCCCGTGCTGGGCCTCACCATGTCTGGCTACCGGGATCCCACCATCGGCTACGAGAACAAAGCCCTGATCCTCTGCGAAGGGCGCTTTGTGGCAGATGTCACTGACTTTGAGGGCTTAAAGGCTATGATCCCCAGTGCCGTGGCCACCAACAGTTCCAGGAGAGCTTCTGCCTTCCCCTGCACCTCAGGGGCCTTCAGTGGCTTCCGAGTGACAATTCGCCCCTTCTATCTGACCAACACCACCAGCCTGGACTAGACTGCGTGGCCCAGAGACTGGGGGTTAGGCGAGGGCAACACAGGAAGGTGGACATGCCCCAGATGCCCACACGGAGGGCTCCTTCCTTCACCTCCATCCTCTCTGCAGCCACCTCCAGCAACTGGCCACCAGATGTCCCCCTGCCTCCACCAGTCTCTGAGCTTATAGAAATTGCTGGAAGGTTTTGCCGTGGATGCTGGGAGCTCCCAGGACGCCCACTGCCTGCGGGCTCGCGGGTGGCAACAAGGCGGGACCAAGATGGCTGGGGGTTTCCTGCGTCCCTGCTGTTGCTCAGGCCACGCTCACTCCTCTGACGACATTAATCACACTTTGCTTCCCACTCGGCTCATTCCTGCAGGAATGTTGTTGGTTTGTAACGCACAGACAGCTGGTGTGAAGGGCTCTGGGGACAGCGAGGAGGCAGAGGCTCTGTCCTCCCAAAGCTGGGCCAGCCGGCAGGGGAGGCGGGCAATAGCGGGTGAACGTCCCCGCGCGTTGGGCCAAGAAGCCGTGTAGGACAGGACCTCAGGGTGCAGGGCCATCACGTGCGGGGCTGGGCCCACCTGGAGCCAGGGGCCCTGTGTGATGGAATGAGAACCAGGCAGGGACGTGGAGACGGGCAGCAGCTCGAGGAAGAGGGAGAGGGAGGAGCAGTGGTCGGGAGCTTCCTCCTAAGTCCTGTGAGGGTGGATGGGACAAGGGACAAGCACATCTCAGTGTTGTCAGAACAAAAATTGGAAATAACCTAATCACCTACAAAGAAGAGACACATTTGTTGGGTTGGGTCAGGCAGGAGAGCGGTGTGTCCGGAGGAGCACAGGACCCCGGGGTAGTGGGAGGGGGTGGGAAGCAGCCGTGAGGCCCTGGGACGTCCTGAGGGAAGGCCTGGGCCTGGGCCCTGGATATCTCCCAGCACCAGCAGGAGTTCTAAGTGTCCCCGCTTCACTGTGACACACACACACAGCTGGAAGGAGAAGGTCTTGCCAAGCTCAGGTACAAGCCAGCCCTCTGGCCAGGTCTGAGAACATGCCTCTAGAGCCAGAGGTGGCACCAAGGTCATCACCAGGACACCCTCCGTCCCACGCATTTCCAGCAGCAAAAGCAGATCCCAAAACCTCTGTCCAGCCGAAGATGGCTTCTTCCCTTCCACTGGGCGCCCACCACTCAGGAGTGAGGCAGGAGGGTCACAAGTCCAAGGCCAGTGAGTGGGCAGCCTGGGCAACTCAGCAAGACCCTGCCTCTAAATAAAAAATATAGGGGTGTCTCCCAGGGGTCCAGTGGCCTTGGGTTCAACCCCAGCCCTGCAACAACAACAGTGACCAGATCTGAGGACCAATCCCACCACTGACACCTCCAAGCCCAGGCTGAGGGCCGTACCCAGGGGGTGAGGGAGGGGAAATGTGTGATGGCCACACTCATGACAGTGCTTAGTTAGCCCCAGGTCCACCTGCGTGACCTGTGGTGGCCACCGAGGTGTAAAGCGTCCGATGGAGCAGGGCTGGGAACACTGAGGGCAGAGTGACGGCCAGGCCCACGCAGACCTGGAGGCCCACGCAGACCTGGAGGCCCACGCAGACCTGGAGGCCCGGCTTCCCTCGAGGTGAAAGGCCTGCCGCAGTCTCTGGGGGCCCTGAGGTGCCAGGTGAGCCTCCTGCTGCCTGGGACCCGCCTAGGTGACAAGGCCAAGGGAGCCCTGTGGAGCTGCCCTCCTCCCTGTGGCACCTCTTCAGCAGCCGAGCAGGCCCTGTGGCCACTCAGGAAGGAAGAGCCAGCTGCGGTGGGGCCTTCAGTGGAGCGTCACGAGACCCCGACGCTCCTGCCCACAGGGCCACCCCACGGGTCTGCCCTCGTCCTCTCCCCCAAAACTCACTGTCACTCCTTCCACTACCTCCCTCCTTCCACCCCCAGACTGACCAAACCCTGAGCCACGTGGGCAGGTCAGTGGCGCTGCTCTCTTTCTCCATCCCCAGAGAAGGGGATGGAGATGTGCTGCCGAGCATCCTGCCCTGAGGCCACCAGCCCCTCCGCCAGGTGTTAACCTGTGGTGAAACCTGAAGCCCTGGGGCATCACTCCCTCCTCTCCCGAGACTCGGGACACCCACGAGGCCCCCGCGGAGGCACACAGGTGGCCTGGTGCCTGGAAGCAGTGCAAGCCTCGTGGGTCTCTTGGCTCAAGATGGGCTCAGCCTGGGAGGAGAGGCTGTCTGGGAAGAGGGCCGCTCCCACGCCATCCCCGGACCTCCCAGCCCAGGCCCCGCTGTGTCCCCGGCATTTCCAGCTGCCTCTCCCTGGGTGGCCAGAGCAGGCAGCCCCGTGGGCAGCGCCTGCCCCAGCAGAGGGGCACCGCTGAGCCTCCAGTAAAGGTTGTGCCCTTTATTAAGTGACCAGGGACACACAGGACAGCCCTGACCCAGGGGGATGACACAGCATGATGAGATGGCAGGAGGTGGACACAGGAGAGCCGGGTACTCCTGAGGCAGGACATGCGCAGACACGTAGGAGGGTGAGGAAGAGGGACCGTGACAGAGGGACTGCCCTCAGCAATGCTCCAACCAGGCTCAGGGGACACAGCAAAAGCACCCCGCGTCTCCACCCGGGGTCGTGGGATGATCTAGCAGGTACTACAGATGGCCCACGAGGGCCGCGGGTGGCTCAGAGGCAGAGCACGTGCGAGGCCCCGCCTGGCGCTCCCCGGCCCTGTCAGAGCCTCTCTCCGGAGCTCAGGGCTCAGTGGGTGGCCAAGGGCCTGTGGGGAAGCAGGGAGCAGGGAGCGGCTCCCAGTGCTGGGCACACTAGTCCTTTCTGAGATGTGCCCACCTTTCCTTCCAAGGGGCTCTGGGTGGCCGAGACGGGAGTCAGGTGAGGGCTGGACTCTTGGGTCGCCTCTGCTCACCGGGGCTGAATCTTCCCAGTGATCAGATCACTGAGTGTTTTTTGACCTGCCACCTGTTTTGGTCCCAAGCACCACACGGTCAGCTGGTGACCTCCTCCTGGTGCAGTGGGAAGTTCGGACCTACAGACACTAACCACGGGGCACTCTGAGGGGCTGGGGTGTCTTCCCCGGGCACTGGGGGACAGCTGTCCTGGTCTGTCCAGAGGAGGGCTGGTGGCAGATGGCACTGGGTACACACCTCAGGCCTGCTGGATTCCTTGGATTCCTTTCCCTGCATCATCCTGGGGAATTCACGGGCCACCAGTGAGTCTAGTTTCTGTCAGACGGTTGAGGAGATGACGGCAGCACTCCCAGCGCCCAGGCTCGGGCACAAAGCCAGGATGGCCCATGGATGCACCTGTGCTAGGTAATTTTAGCTGTAGCTTCATGTAATGAAAACTCAAAATAGCAATGGCTTATGTGAAATTTTTCATTCTTCTCTCAAACCCAAGAGAGAAGGTGGTCTCTCTAGAGATAGGCTCCTTCTCTCTTTACACTACCTTAGTGCATGACTGTCATCCTTGGGATTACCTCGTGGCCCACAGGACTACTGGGATTCCAGCCATCACTTCTGTCTTTCAGGCAGCAGGATGCGGGACAAAGGGCATTCCCCGCTGTGTATCCCCTAAGCCTGAGTGTCTCTTTAAGCTTTGCATTTAAGTCACCCTACCTGCTTCCTCCTAGTGCCACCCTACCCTGGCCAGCCTACGTGGCTTTCAGCCTTCTTAGTGCTGCGGTTGCATAAGAGATCTATTGGCATGTCCCCGGGTCCCTATGCTGCAGTCCATGACTTAGGATCTGAGCTTGTCCTCTGACCTCTCCAGTCCCACTCCAATGGCTGGATGTCCTTTGTCTTCCCCTGACCCCAGGGCTGCAGCGTGTCCTCCACACTCATGTCCAGCGGGAGCTTTATCCCGGGTACCATAGGCTATAGCAGCCCTTGGGCAACGGCAGACCTCCAGGAAGCAGTGGGGTCTTTAAAAACTGTTTTGTGGGTATCACATGGGCTGTGTTGCGGAGACAATTAATTTCTACCTCACTTTATTTTTTTTTGCAGAACAGGGTGTTGAACACAGTGCACTCAACCACTAAGCCAAATCCCCAGCCCTTTCTGAAATATTTTTGTTTTGAGACAGGTTCTCACTAAGTTACCCAGACAGGCCTTGAACTTGAGATCCTCCTGCCTCAGCCTCCTGAGTTGATGTGCCACCATGGCCAGCTTCCACCTTACATTTAGACACCCACCCACATGAATACCCCTCAGGTGGAAATGCTGGACAGTCCCCCCAACCCCGAAGGCCCCCGTCTCGCAGCCTCCCAACCACTACTCTGACTTCAGTCACTGTAGATGAGTCTTTCCTGTCCTTGATCATATAAAGGAAACCTGTGGCGCATACTAATCAGCAACAGTCTCTTTGTTGCATGTTACACTGTGAGAGTGACGCGCGTAGCTCTACGCAGCTGAAGTTGAATTGCGTGGTCGGACTCTGCCGGCATTTCCAACTGTCCTGCGGTTGGAGGGCACTCGGGCTGTTCTCAGTAGTTCTGGCATTTTGAATAAGGTTTCTCTGAACAGTTTTTAAATAGACATTTATTGAATTAGTGCTGTATGCCAAGAGATACGGTAGATGCTCCTATGTGGGTCATTGTTGTCCAGAGTCACTGGGCCCTAAGACGTGCTGGGGGACCTAGACCATCTGGGGGTGCCTTCTTCACGTGTTTGAGTGCGCTGCCCAGCTCCCCAGCTCTCGCTTCCCAGGATGAAGCTCTGTCCCCAGTCCACACCACTTGCTGTGCCCGGCCCCCCGCACCTGGCCGCCCGTCTGCTTTCTGTCTCTAGGAACGGGGCCGCTCTCGGCCCCCGTGTGAGTGGAGTTCAAGCCGTGGTTGAGCCGTGGTTGGGACTCCTTCCTGCCGCGGTGCGTGTGTGCACCACAGTCGCGTGTCCATCACGGAGGGGACCCTCGGTGGCTTCTGCCTTTTGCTGTGGCCAGCAGTGCTGCAGGAGCAGGGTGAACAGGCATCTGCTTGGCTGGGTACAGACCCAGGAGTGCTGCCCGAGCGCTGGTCCTACGCCTTGCTCTCAGGGGAAGTGCTGCGTGCTTCCTACAGGACGTCCAGCTCCTCGCTCCACCAGGGCTTGGTGCCTGCCGATTTTCCCGTTCTTTGTGCCGGCCACCCTATCAGACGTGACGTCTCCTGTTCTGGTGTGATTTGGCTATGTTTTGTGCTGGGGATTGGATCCAGGGCGGCTCTACCTCTGAGCTGCACCCCAGCCCTTTTTATTTTTTATTTTTCGACAGGGTCCAGGAACAGGATCTTAGACCTAAGAACACTCCCATGCCTACCCTCGTGGGTGTGCTCACTCTCCCCGGGGCAGGAGCTCAGCTTTCCTAGGGACCAGCGGC